TGCAGAGCTGGGGTTCCTCTGGCTGTGGCTTCACCTGCCCAGGAGCTTTGTGCTAACAGACAAAGGGGGCCCTGGGCCCTGGCCAGGGTGATGTGGTGACACTGGAATGGTGACATTCCCCACTGCTGCACGTGCCCAGCTCCTGACTATGACTGGCATGGCAAAATAACTCAGGATTCAGGGCTGGGATTTGCCTTGACCAAATGAGCCAGCTCTTTGTCTCCATTCCATGCAGAATCTCTGACTTCCACACTCGATTTAGGCTTCGTTCTTCTTGGAGTAAGTGACACGGGCAGCATCATGGGCTGGCAAACTCCTGGCATGAAGAACAGGCTCCAGGCCCCGATAAGCTTGTCCAGCACAGCCTATTCTGTCAGCAGGCACCAGCTCTGGAGCCCTGTGTGTTTTCCCCTGGCAAATGGTCACTTACAGTAAAACACCATGGAAAAATCAAATTAAAAAAATTAATTCAAGTGAGGTGGTGCATCCACAGGAGGCCCAGTCTCAGGAGAGCTGACCATCAGTCCTGACAACACTGTGGAGCAGCTTCCCATAAATATTGATGCATAAATACCTGATTTGGACCACGATTTCAGTCCCCTCCCCAAGCCCAGCACCCAGAAGTTGAAGGCAGGCCAGCAATGTGTCACACGCTGTCAAAGTCCACTGTCCCCTGAGCAGAATTGATCCCTCCTGCCCTGGTCACCTGGTCTCTGGCCATGGGCAGGGCACACATGTCCTCAGGGCCAGCCCGCGCTGGCACAGTGAACTGGTTATACTGGGAGCTTCAGCCTCGCTCAGACACCCCAAAAGCAGCAGCTGGGGCTGCCAGGAGATGAGGGCTGCTCGTGTGGCTCAAAAATGAGTTCATTACAGGTCATTGGCTTCTTCAGGTGGCTGCTTGCACTCTGCACAAGGCAGTGCTGCCACAGCAGGACCTACTCCTCTGCTGGCTGGAGCCCCTCCAGGGCTGGTGGTGGTGGCCTGGTGGGTGGCAGGGACTGCATGGCTGCAAAACAACACAGGACAGGTCCAGGACAGGGCAGTCCTTGCTGTGGGCAGCCCTGCTGCAGGGCTGACCCTCCACAATGCTGCCAGGCCTGGGCCCACATTCCCTCCCCATTCCCCTCCCCACTGGGAGCACTGGTCCCAGTCTGTGGGTTTGGGTCAGACCCTCCTGCCCCACACCCAGCACCCACAGGGGTCACTCTGAGCCCACAGGGTTGGGCAGGGATGAGGAGTTGGTTGGTGCATGGAATCAGCACCCCAGCTCATGCTTAGAGTGGGATTTGTGCCCTGGCTGTTCCAGGGGCACATTTATGGCCAGGCTGCTAAACAGCTTCAATTTGAGACTTCACAACCCTCCCTGGTGGCTGCAGTGACAGCAGACAGGTCAGAGCAGCTGAGGGGCTGGGCAAGAGGCAGGTGCTGCCCTCAGCGCCTGGACTGAGCTGATTTACTGCTCCCAAACCCACCATGGAACCCAGGCACAGCCTCCCCTCAGGTTTTGTCCCCCATTGTCCCCTCCCTGGCCTCACCTTCGCGGCAGGTGGGTCCCGTGTGGCCGTGCAGGCACTGGCACTGCCCGTTCCTGGCGTTGCAGTAGGAGCTGCTGGGGGCACACTGGCATGCCAGGCTGCACTCGGGGCCGAACTGGGTGGGCTGGCACTCTGCAGAGGGAACAGAGCTGCTCAGGTGTGCGGGAATTCAGGACATCCCTCTGTCCTGGACTGCCAGAACCCCTGCCAGAGAGAAACCCTGGCACAGAGCCCAAAATACCTGTGGTTTTGATTATGACCCATGGAAAAAACAACTACTAACCTTATATGAGGATCTGCAAGCCACAAAAGTCTAAGTAGAATAATAGCTAGTTTGTCACGGGGTGAAAAAATACATTTTTGGGGGTTTTAGAATGGGGGTTTGGGAATTGTTTATCCAACAGGTGATTGTTTGATTGGTTTCATGTGAATTGTTTTGACTTAATGACCAATCAGTGCTAAGCTGTGTCAGGGCTCTGGAAGGAGTCACGAGTTTTCTTTATTATCTTTTTAGCGTTCTGTAAGTATCCTTTCTGTATTATTTAGTATAATATAATATAATATAATATAATATAATATAATATAATATAATATAATATAATATAATATAATATAATATTTATATTAATTATATTTTTAAATGAAAATAAAATTATTAAAATAACAAATTAAAATTAAAGATTTAAAATTTAAAAATTAAAAATAAAATAAAAATAAATTAGAAAGAAATGGATTAAAATAAACACAAAATAATTAAAATAGAAAAATAAAATAGAAAAATAAAATAGAAAATAAAATATATAATATAATAAAATAATAATAAAAAAATTTTCTGAGAACATGGAGTCAGATTCATCATTCCTCCCTTCACCTGGGAACCCCCCAAATACAATATGCCACTGCCCCTCTCACCCTGTGAGGTGACACACACCAGAAAAAAGCCTCTCCCAGCTCACTGGGAGCAAACCCCCCATCACACAGCCCCTTCCTCCCCTGCCCAGCCGGGCTCAGCTCACCTGCAGCACAGGTGGGGCCGGTTCTGCCCGGGGGGCACAGGCAGCGCCCGCTCACCGGGTCACAGGGGACATCGCTGGGGCAGTCACAGAGATGCTGGCACCCCTCTCCATACGTCCCTTCCTTGCAGCCTGTGTGAGACACAGAATCCAGCCACAGAATCCAGCCCCTGCTCTGTGTGTCTGGCCCTTGGGATGCCCTCGGGAAGGGCGAGGAAGAGGATGGAGGTACCTGTGTGACAGCGCTCGCCCTGCAGCCCNGCCCGCTCTCGGCGCTGCAGCTGCCGTCACCGTTGCTGCAGTTGCAGGTGTGGGCACAGTCAGGGCCCCAACGCCCCAGGTCACAGGCTGGAAAAACACAGCAGGAGCCCATCACTGGTGTGTGCCACAGAGCATGGCATGGGCACAGTGCTGCTTTCACCAGCGGGCACAACATCCCTTGGGCACAGGGACAAACAGAGGCACTGCCAGCACCACACAGACACAGCCAAGAAACCAAAAGGATTTCAGAGAGATTTCCCTGGCAGAGGCAGGAAATCTGACAGGAATTTCCTGCATGAAGATGAGAATGGAGAGATGGCAGCACAGCTTGGCATGGGTCAGGGTGGCAGAGTACAGGTGCTGTACCTCGCTGGCAGTGGTGCCCTGTCCAGCCGGGTGGGCAGCTGCAAGTCCCCGTCACAGGATGGCAATGTCCCTCGTTGGCACAGCTGCAGCTCAGCTGGCAGGCAGGGCCGAACCAGCCGGGTGGACACACTGCCAAGGGAAACAGGGAGGGAGGGACTGCAGGTGGCTGCTGGAATCCCAGACCTGGGCAGAGCTGCTGGGTACCACAGTGCTCCAGCAGAGCTCTCACACAGCTCTCACACCCCGAGTTCAGGTGCTGAACAGGACAAGGGGCTCAGCATTCTGCCTTCTTTCCTCCTGCTGCAGAAGTTACTACAATGGAGATGGGGCTAGAANGTTTTAGAATATAGTGATATATATAAAGCAAGATGGAGGTTTTAGGGCAGAGACTGGTCCTCCTTCTTTACCACCTTCTTTACCTTCTTCTCACCTTCTTCTCCATGGGTTTGGGTGGTATTTTGTAACTGGACAGAAAAGTCCGCATTGCGGACTCTGATCCGTTATTGGGTTAAAAGTGAAAATAATTTAGGTGTCATTTCTTAATTGGATACTTTAGCCTTAAAAGACCTTGTCACAAGAGATAGTTGGCCATTTTGTGCCTTGTTAATGAAACACTGCAGAACTCACTGCTATGAGGCTGTAACATTGATAAGAAATAATAAACATCTAAGCCTGAACGCGAACTACTCACGAAAGTGAATCCCGACCCCAACAGAGGTAGAAAAAGGAAGCTGAAAGCTGGCAGAAAACCATTCCAAAGCAGGCCCTGTCTGCCCCAGAACCATTCCCCAGCTGTTTCCTCACCCAGCTCACAGGCCAGCCCCGTCCAGCCTGCAGGACAAGTGCAGCTCCCCGTGGCCGGGTCACAGGTGCCACCGTTGTGGCAGAGACAGCGCTGCTGGCAGTCCTTGCCATAAAACCCCACTGGGCAGGCTGAGGGACAAACAGGACAGACATCCCAGTCAGGACACACCTCTGGAAGCTTGTGTAACACAGCCAGAGCGGTGGGTGGATGGTGTGGTACACAGCAATGCTGATTTTGATGCAATGACAACTTTAGGTGTGTCACCTGCTCAGGTAAGAGGCAGCAGCTTCTGCCTACCTCAGGAGTGGCATTCCTCCCTGTGCTGGCAGGGAAAGCAGGGGGTGTGGGAAGGGTTACCTTGCTGGGGTAGAGGTGCTGTGGAAGGGTTACCTTGCTGGGAAAGCAGATGGTCTGGAAGGATTACCTATTACTATGGAAGTAGGAGGTGTGGAAGGATTACCTTGCTGGAATAGAGGTGCTGTGAAAGGGTTACCTTGCTAGGGTAGAGGTGCTTTGGAATGGTCACCTTCCTGGGGAAGCAATTGGTGTGGGAAGGGTTACCTTGTTGGCAGGAGAAGCAGGTGATGTGGGAAGGGTTACCTTGCTGGGGAAAGCAGGTGGTGTGGAAGGATTACTTATTGCTAGGGAAGCAGGTGGTGTGGAAGGGTTACCTTTCTTGGGCAGAGATGCTGTGGAAGGGTTACCTTGCTGGCAGGGCAACCAGGGGTTTGGGAATTGTTACCTTGCTGGCACGAGGGTCCTGTCCACCCCTCGGGGCACAGGCAGCGGCCGCTGATGTGGCTGCAGGTGGCGTTGTTGAAGCACCGGCAGGTGTGGCTGCAGTTCTGGCCGTAGCTGTTCTCTGGGCAGGCTGCAGGGGAGCAGAGCAGGCAGGGCCGGTGGGCACTGGGTGGGAATTACAGCGGCCAGGCTCCTGCCAACCCTCCCAATGGCTGGGAGGGGATGTGCCAGGGGTGGTTGGTTGCTCTGGGAGGGGGTTTTGTGGTGTTAAATAGATTAATGTGACATCCAAACACTGATATCATCACTGTTACATCCTCCGTTATGTGGGAGCAGTTTTGCTGGATGCCCAAGCCTTCATTGCATCCAACCAGAACATGCTCAGGCAGAACCCTCCAGAACCAAAATTAAATTCCACACAGAGAAAATCACAAATGGGGAGTGAACAACCCAGAACTCTGGTTCCTATGACCTGGCAGCAGAGACAGCCCTGGCTCCAGAGTGCCATGGAGAGCAGGGAGGGCACCTCCCACAGACACCTGTCCTGGGCACAGACACCTACCCTGGGCACAGCGGGCACCAGTCCAGCCCGGGGGACACTGGCACTGTCCTGTCACAGGGTCACAGTGGGCACCATTCAGGCAGTCACAGGCTTGCCGACACTCCAGTCCATAAAATCCATCGGGGCAGGCTGTGGAAAACAAAGGAGAAATCCACACACAGAATGCAGAGCTGGAGCCCTCCCAGAGGGAAAAGCTGCCTGCCCCTTCCTTGGTGGCCTTTGTGGCTGCAGCAGTGTGACAGTGCTGCTGAGGGCAGCAGATATTGGATGCAACACCACTGTGGACACTGCAGGTACAGGAGAGGGCAGTGGAGGATCAGGAGAGTGATGGTTTGATGTTCCTGACCACAGAGAGGCTGCTGGGGGAGCTGGAGAGAGCCTCCTCCAAGAGGCTGCTCTGAGACCCTGTGTGCAACATGTGCACACTCAGGTGGCCACAGCAGCTGTATGTC